CATATCAAAATAATTTGCACAAATTATTAGCACAAATTATAAGTACAGAGGCTGTAAACCCAATTAGGATAGATGGCCTCTAAAAAATATATATTTGCTATTTATACATACATAAAACAACAAAAGAAATTTGCTAGGATCAACGATTGGATCAACCCTTATTCTTCTTATCCTTCATTTTGTGAACAACAATAACAACATTCCACGTCTCTTCCATCCGTATAATAGATTGGGGTTAACATTACTGGTGGATGAGATCGCTATAGAAGCCCAGTGATGTGTAATATAAAAGAATCATGTACAACCATGGATGGAGGCTTGCAAGGAATGAGAGGAGAAAAATAGAGAGAGGAAAGAAACCTAGTCGTTGGCAGTGGACGTGCGTTAGCGAACAATGATTTTGGCAGGGAGAGAGAGGTATGGTTTTGGCGTAAAGAGAGAAAGATAAAGGGAGGGATGTTTATGGAAACATAATATGAGAGATAGGGTAAGGACGAAGTCTAAGATTCCTATATAGAATGAAAGTCTCGTTGAGATTGTTGGTCAAGAGAAGAAATTCAAGTACCAATTAGGATTGTTTTATTAACAATTTTAAAACAATCTTAGCCTTGAAAAATTAAAGACAAACAAAAGATTTGAATTGCTAGCTCCCTTCTATATAGAAATGAGAGTCTTAGAGTTAAGTCCTATTAAGATATATAGAGAGAGAGTTACATGAGAGATGAGAGTCTTGAGAGAGAGAGTTATATGAGAAATGGAAGCCTTAGACTTTAGTTCAATTAGGATCGTCGGATCAGTAATCCTCAAACGATCTGAGCAGAAAAAAGTTCAAGACAAACAATCTAACTCTTTTATTATATAGATAAAATAAAAAATGAAACTATTGTAATTATGGAAATTGATTCGGACTAGGAGGACAAGCAGGGATGGAAGTTGCATATCTTCAACTAGGAGTGTCAAAATATGACACGATCCATTAACAAGACACGAAATTAGAGGATTTGAGTTTCTTTTAAGCCATTCATTTCGTAAATAAGTGGACCCGACCCGTCATGATTAATAAACGAATCGGGTATGAGTGAAGCCAATAAAAAAAACACGATATAACTCATGTATATACAAGTTTTACATGACACAAACTTAATATGACACGATTCGTTAGATACAAATTAATAAATGAATCGGTCATGGGTGGAGTATTTTCTAACATGAACTTGCTAAGACCCCACATGAACCCGCCTCATTCGACACGATTGACAAGCCTACCTTGAACCTCTTATTTGTTAGTTTTAGTGTTAATTACGCATTGCCCCTCAAATTATGAGATTTGTATCACTTTGTCCCCTTAAACTATTTTATTTTTCACATTGTCCGTTAACTACTTGAGTTAATTTTATATTACCAAAATTGCAAACGTTCATTATTTTTTGGATCAATTATCAACAGATCGAGTCAAAAGTGAAACAAAAGCACATAGTTTGAAAGACAAAGTAAAAACAATGCTTTGTTAAATTTTTAAGAGGTGTTAATCATTGGTATAATATGAAACTAATGTCCATCGTTAAAGTATAATGTGAGAAACATGATAGTTGAGGGGCAAAGTGGCACAAATATCATAGTTTAAGGGGAAAAATGTAATTAACCAAGTTAAAATTGGAACAAAGTAAACTTTTCTAAACTTTTTTGGCAATAAGAATAAGCACAATTCTTTTAAGTCGTTAAGGAGAAACACTTCAAACGAATTAAGTCCAAATTAATTATAATTTTTTTTAATGACACAACCATCCTTTTAAATCAGATTAGGTATCCACATTGTCAGATCACCTAAAGATAAGTCAAGTCGATCAAAACCTTCTTTTCTTGTTCTTGGATCTGCTCGAACACTTTGGCAGGAATATGAATATGCGTTCGCAGCAATTCATCTAAGAAGGTTGAATTGGATCTTGATTCTTCATGCAGAAGTACTGTTTTATTGCTAATGTTTAACTAGAGCTTTGAAAAATTGTTACGAAGAAAGTGATACTGAATGTAACTAGGATTTTAACGAATGTCGTGAATATCATGGAAGTTTCAACCACTAGTTGACTATGTCAATAAAATATTTCGGAGATCGGCAAGTAATATCGAATTATCCACATTCATCAAGTGATACTGACCTTGTCATTTCACAACTTTGTTGTGGACCATTATTTAAATTAAGCAACTGTGCAAGAAACAAAGGGTAATTTGACAAGTATCTTGTCATAAAAAGTGAAATACTACTCCATTTTCGTTTTATGCATGCAATTTTCTTGCACTAATTTGAATCATATTTTAAAAAATCTTATAAATTGCACTGATCTTGGTTCATAATTTTGCCAGCGTAGAACTCTCTTCTTAGTAGTATTCTTATGAAATTTGAATATGAATTGTATTGTTTTGAATGGTTTAGTAGTCCACAAGTAATGCTGACATAAGAAATGCTCTGTTTTAGTTTATTTTCTATTTTTGGTGATATTCTTCAGTTTATATATTATGCTTAAATGGTGTTCGATGAAATGCATGAATAAAAATTCAATCACTGTTTTGTAGAATTTAGATGATGAAAATAAACAGTAACAATGAAAATTCATTATTACTATCACTATCACTATCTATTTTTGTAGAATTTGGACAGTGACACTATGACTGTGTCATTGTTATTGTCACTGTGTCTTAATGTTATTGTCACTATGGCTATGTTACTGTCACAGTTCATTTTGTAATACCGCTAATCATATAATTAAGGTAAAATAATAATTGTGACTACAATTGTCCTTGATGACCCAAAAGAAATAGTGCTTGGCCATTGCAATTGTATTTGATCCTCGTTATAAACTTGACTTTGTAGAGTAGTGCTATAAGAAGCTTTATGGTAAAAGTTCCCTTGAGTATTTTTATGTTCGAGAGAAACTTTTTTCTATATTTGATGAGTATATAAGCAAATCTATTATCACTTCTTCTTCTCAATCATTGATAGTTCTTCGTGGTCATCTAGTTACTCATGAGCCAAATTTGAACCTAGAACCTATGTCAGATTTGAAGGTTCTTGATGTTTTGTCTTATAGTTCTTATTGTATTAGATTAATACTACTATTGATAGTCGATGATTTGGTAGTTTATGATTTTGATAATGTAGGCATTTATCATTGAGAGCAATGTATCTGAACTTAAGATACAAAAAGGTCAATTGTAATTGTATTTGGATGAAGCTAGAGTTGACATAGAAAAAGAACTTATTGTACGAGTTCATCAATATCTTTATTCGAAATGTTCTGTTATGGCTTGTGATGTGTTGACTATTTTAATTTCTATGGTTGCTTCAAAATTGGTTTTTAGTATTAGTGGTTGAGTTCTTGACTAATACCGTAGTACTTTAAAGCCTCATGTTGTGGAGGCGTTGACGTACACTAGGGATTGGTTATGTGCAGAAAAAGATAATAAATGTAATTTGTGATGGCTGCAATATTTAATTATTTTTATAACTATTGAATTCTTATTTTTATGTTTTCTTTATCGTTGTTTAGAAAATTCACAAGTGGAATTGGGAGAGCTTGTAGAAGATGTTTTAAATCCGACTTTGAACAAAAATAAGGATGCATCGATGCAATATTCAAATGTGGTTGTGGATCTTGGTTGTTGATTCATAAAAGATAAGTCTTTATGTCAATCATGTGTGTTTGTTTGTTATTTTGGTCACAATAACCATTCCATCTTTGTTGGGGCTTAAAAGCTTAATATATTTTTTGGCAAGATTTAGATGATGAAGAGGAATTGAAAGATGCTTATAATGTTGCTTTGGGATATTTGTAATGCATTGGGATATTTGTAATCCTTTTGGATATTTGTATTGTGTTGAGATATTTGTAATGCTTTAAATATTTGTTTTGGGATTTATAATGCTTTGGAGATTTGTATTGTTTTGGGGTATTTGTAATGTTTGTAATATTTTTTTTTTGGGTAATGCAGATCCAAATTACCTTTTTTTTTGTTGGTACAAGTTTAAATTAATTAAATTGATTAGGTGGGTAGGTACGAGAGTTGCGAGAGACCGATACTTGATTGCATATAAAATTTTGATATTTTTTGATCTTTTACTTGATTTCATATGTTTCTTCATTCATCCGCCCGCCTTGGTCAAATGGTCAATGACACGACGTGTGTAAATCTCAAGTCATAGGTCGTGTCAGGTTAATTGTGTTTAGAACCAAATTATGTTTACATCCATAAGACTTGAATTCGATGTGACACGACTTGAACACGATATAACACGACACACGATATGACACGATCTTAATTACTGTCTTTCTGTTATTGTCCATTTTGTAATATAACTATTTATGTCATTAAAGATAAATTAGTCTTTATGTCTTTAATTATCCTTAAGGCCCCAAAAAAGTATGTGCATGGACTAATCTATATCTATTTATACTACTTTAATTATCTATCTTATCCCTAAGTATTGTAATAAAGTCAATTGTACCCCACCTATATACTTTTATTTAATTTTGATTTTTCACTCTTATTTGACTTTCAACTTATTTTGTACTATATGTGAATAAATAAAGTTTTATATATGTTATATTATTATATACATGTAGTTCCTAAATTGAAATTTTATGGTCAAATATATGTTATATTTTATTTTTTGCATGTAATAATATAATAATATTATAAGCAAAATACTCAATCTATTTAACCAAATCAAAATTAATAATTTATAATATAATTAGATGTATAAGTGTCTAAAAAGGTTGGAGAGTAAATAAATGACAAATTATTTAATTTAATTTAATTATACATATAATTAATATTTTTTATAAAAAAATATTATTTAAATTTATTTACGAGCGTAACACACGTCACATTTGTTAGTTGACCTAAAATTTCACAACTATGGACAGGCCTCCAATTAACCCTTTTATAATTTGTTATTGTTATTCACTTTCTTGGGGCTTTTATGTTGTTACGCGAAAATTATGTGCAATTTAGTTTCAATCTGGACTTTAGAACTTTGAAGTGCAAAGGGTGACCTATTCTTTTCCTTATCTGAATAGAGAGGTCACTGAAACTGAGTCTTACACACTCTCCGAACCCCCAAAACCACTCTCATGGCTTCCTCTGCAACCTTCTCACAGAGCACCTTCTCATACATATACTCATTCTCACACACCTCAAAGAAAATCCCTCTTCGGCTACTACCGATTAAAGCAGTACAATCCACTGAACCGGAGAATGAGAAGCTTGCACAAAAGAAAACCCAAGAGTCCTCCAATGCCCAACCTTCAATCACACCCTCTAAACTTCCCAAAAAACCTGTGTATTCAAGTGAGTGCTATGAGATTTTGTTTGACTATAATTTGAATTGGGTATTTTAGTGAAGTTTTGATTTTTCCATTGGCAGTGAAGAAAGGTCAGATTGTGAGGGTGGACAAGGAAAATATCTTAATAGCATCAACGTGAGTGTAGCAGTTTTTTTTTTTTCAATATGATTTTTCTTTAGAAATTCTCAAGTTTGACCTCGTTGAAGCATGAAATCAGTACTGAAATTGCAATTTTTTTTAATAGCAAATACTATTCCAGGTAGAAAAATCTTGTATGGGTGCACTTTTATCCTTATGAATATGGGTCATTAGATTACCCCTGTGGAATTGGCATATTTAGGATTCTAGCTTTATTTTGGTCGAGGAGAGGTTGGATTGAAGTGATGACTTGTGTTTATCCACCCAAACATACACACGATTTCCTACATCTCGCTACAGACAGGACTCTTGTGCATGGGATACAATCTTTTTCTAAACTTTATTTTGGTTGCATCTTCAAGAACAGTTACCAATTGGGAATTTGATCAACACAACAAAAAACTCCCACCATATCCATCCAATTGGAAAGACATGATAAAATATGTTCACAAGTTTCTCCAAGAATAGCCGTCCAATGTGGATAGAGGTTCCTCTAGTGAAAAAATACCGTTATGGCTATACCCAACTGATTCATCAGTGAATAAGAAGTGAAGGGCAACATTTAGGATTAAGTTTCTGACAGTAGATCATGGGATCGTGCAATTTTATATGTTACGGTATTAAGCATGACAGTGGTGCCTCGTGGTTAGTATAAATCTGAATTGATTCCTCACAGTCACAATGGATGAACTCCTCCAACTATCCCCTTTCAATTGCCAATTGGTGCCATAGCTCAATGTGGACACTCTTGATGGAAAAGTGCTGTAATTGCTACATCACTTTTGTGTAATACCTTGTATCTCAAGAAGGGCACTAGAATACGTTCTCTCAGTACTGCAGCAGAGGTAATTAGACATCATGCATGAAGGTGTGAGGCATTGTAGGACAAACATTTAGTATTATTTGTTAGGGTCTTGTAGCCATTATACTGTGGGAATTCGCCTAGTAAAAAACTTAAATGTAAAAAAAGTATATAAAAGTGCCTAGGGCAAACGTTAAAAAGTTCCAAAACTTTCAAATAACTAATAACATATTTGAGATCCAAAGGATTGGCTATTTGGCTCAATGGTATGTGCAATAACTCAAAAGAGGGAGGCCATGTGATCAAACCTTGCAAAACCATTGGGGCCATCCCACAAGTTTTATCTCGGTAATTACACAGTCCATGTGGGATGGAGGACTGTATGTGCCAGAAAGGATTAGGTAAGATACCTGGAAACCTCCTACTCAGCATAAAAAAAGAAAGAAAGAAAGATTAGCAGGCTAGTTTAAACATTAATTTTATTGTGGTATGATTTAGTGTATGAATTGTTCCCTCACCAAAACATCTTATTTAACCTATATATGGTTCAGAAATAAAACTTTTTAAGCCCTCTACAAGATTTTACAAGAGAATATAACAAGATAATATACTCTTCTTCTTGCTAATTTTTATACGCACTTGATATTTGTGATGATAATAATCATATGAGACCAAGCCTGCAGTTCTCAATCTTTTGTTCATAAAACCGAAAAACTACATCTAATATTGTTAGTGGTACCCTGTGGGGCAAATGAAGTCAAAGTATCCGATGAATGGAAAGAGTAAATTTTGCATTTGGAAGAACTGAACTATGTATTCATATGTAAGGGCACTATGCATAGCATAATCAATATAATCTTAATTGTCTAATTCTGTAAAATGAACCAAAAGTAAGTTTTTGCCATCAGGCAAATTGTTATGGCCTAAGTGGATGTAGCTATAATAGTTTCAAGAGGAGTGTTTTATGCTGCTGAATGCATAGTCTCTCTTGTTCTGCTAAGAACTAGATGAATAAGCTCTCTTTCTGTGACATTGCTGATATTATTTGCCATATTCAACACATATATAAATAACATAAAAGGAATACTAATAATCTTCTTATGGCAGTATCTGTCAGTTGGTCATCCACCATATTACAAAGGCTTGGACTACATATATGAAGACCGTGGTGAGGTACCTTCACACATGAGATTGTTATTATTTTGACAAACGCATCCATATGTATTTATCAATCTTGATTGCCTACTCTTCACCCTTACAGGTACTTGATATACGTAACTTTGAGACCGGGGAGTATGCTCTAGTATGTACTCTTCATTTTGAATGTTATGCCTGTTTAACTCCGTTTGCTTCTCTGCAGGACTAGTTATTAGCTTAGTAACTGTTTAAGCAGAAGTTTAATTTCCCGGAAGAGTATGCATGATTAATCTACTCCTAAGCCCTAAAGTTTTTGGTTGCTTCAAAGCCAAGTAGAAAATGAACCATCATCTCTATGCGATAAATATAATGATGGTTCTCAAGTTCTGTGAAATTTTTTATATTTAGACGTTTATCTGTTATGCTCTCAAGAGAAACCAGGCATTGGCTCAGTGGTAAGTTCACTCTATTGTGACTTGTGAATTACAGATTCAATTCATGGAAACAACCTTTGACCCTCTCCAAACACGTTGTGATGGGGGCTATCTTTTATCTATTATGAGCCACTCCAACACGAAAACATAATACAAGATCCCAAAGTTTCAGTTCTCATGTTACCTAGTGATTGAACACAAGTTCAAGAGACATTACTATAAATTCATGGTTACATGAATGACTGTCACATAACATATGCTTTAGTGTATGTAAGACAAAGTCCATGATTATGAACATTAGCTAACACTGTCTACAGATTGCATGGGTCGGAATCCCAACGGCACCAGCTTGGCTTCCAACAGAAATGCTTATCAAGGTAACATTTCAGCTTGCTGTCATGGATATGGCAAATTAGAACTTCATTTACTTGAATTTCCTCAAGTAATTATGGTGTACCCCATCCCCATTTCTGATGTATTCTCGCAGTCAGATAGGCTCAACTATGAGAGAATATAGATCAACTTCCCAATGCAGAAAGAATACCAAGCACCAGATGACAATAGCCATGCTCCATGCTTCATTCATCCTATGGTGGAAAAGAAATGCTGCGGGCCATTTGTGTTTTTTTTTTTCTCTTTCTTCTTTCTTTCCTTGTGACCATCAGTATCTGCTAATATATCTAGCAGTGGCAGAATATATGTGCTTATTTAAAATTTGGTGGCGTTTAGTTTGAGAATTCTGCCATTTTTTTTCCTTTTGCATTTTTTCTTGATGGGTCATCCTTTGTGAAAAATTCCAAGTTAAATATTTATCAATTAATAACCGGTTACCACAGTGGGGTACAACTAGCTTGGGCGAACCTTGAACTTGGATGTGCTGAGTTCAACTTTCAATAACAACTCCCGGATTTAACTAATATTTGTTATTAACAAGCGGTTACAAATATACAGGGCTTATTTGACAAGAGTGGGTTCAATGTAATTCTACCTGACTCATAATCATCATGAAAAAAAAATTGATAGAGATAAGTGTTCAACGTCCATTATGAAACACCATTGATATAGAAGATTATCTTCGAACCCAGAAGGACCTTATGAAACACAAATACTAATCAGCCAAGTTCTTGTGCCTTTGTTTTTAATGACATACCTGAGACCAAGGAAAATAAGGAAGTTGACTCTGAACTAGAATAGACTCTACCCATCTGATTTTTGTGCTAAATTGGCTCCCAACTCCAATGCCAATATGCTATCAATGAGAAACTGGCTCTAGGTATAACATGACTTGATCGAAGAGACCAATCTACAAACTTTTCAAAAATTTAGCTCAACGTGCAAGGATCTTGTGCAATTGACATCCATTGCATTTTTGCCAACTGCAATACAAATTTAAAGATCACTGTGGCCATCTTTAATATACATTCGAATCAAGTAGAGGAGACAGTTACAGTATCAAGTAATGCAACACCTTCCTACTGCGTCCAGAGACGGGTTTCCTACAAATCCCTTCATCCTGTCTCATGCTCTGTCTCTCGAGGAAGAAACAAACTAGCACCCTCACAATTTACATTCTCCATCATAAGACCCAACCAAATTCTTACTCCAATGAGAGCTCATAATTTACATGTGATTCTTAGTCGGTGGGGACCTTGGTGCAATACAGCAGATTTGCTTCATCCGTCATTGCACACTATAAAATGGGCCTCGTTCTTGGGGATCTACCAGGTGTTTGGGCTTTGAACATGGAAATTTCATTCCATGGATCAAGAGTAGTTCTTGTGTTGGGTCTCGTTGGAAGCATCGAGTAATCATTCAAATTGTAACCACTTAGCCCCACCAAAGCATAAGATGTCTGAGGAGTAGAGAGAAAACAGCTCCTGTATGCTGGGCCATGTTGTCGCAAAGGGCTTGAACAGGGAGATACAGGAGAAGACATGACCGTTCTTGCATTATCCCTATGTAAAAAAAAGTGACAGCACCCGAAGTTATTTCAATATCAGACTTATTGAAGAGCATGACTACAGATGATGGATACAAAATCACCATTTTGGCCTTCTAATATTGTCTTTTCCAGGGGTAGGGGGTGGTGGAGGAGGAGCGGGTGTGGGTCTTACCTTGGGCTAGCCAAAGTTCTTGAGACAGTGACCACTGGTTTCAACACATAGTCTCCATTAGAAGGACTTATATTTGTTCTGTTGGAGTGCAGCTCTAAAGCATTCTGTTCCAAGTGAAAACAATGGAAATTAGCCCAAGGCTGCGGATCTTACCAACCAATATATCATATTATGAAATCAAACACAGCCAAGAATTCTAAAACATCCATGTAAAGATAAATTAGAGGTCATGGACAAGCATGCAAAAGATGTCACGTGCGCATGTAAGGCAAACTTAAAACGAATATACAGTTGAAGATAAGAGGAAATTGAACAAGACTAAGAAATCACACATACAGAATCAACATTCTGCGTAATCTTGAATCCTGTTGAAGTTGAACTTTGGATGCTCAAGCTATTATGTTTCAGAAAACTACCTCAAGTAAGTCCTGTTCTAAAAATGGATAGCCACTCTTTTTTCATTTCTGAAAGGTATGCATACTGATCATCAACACATTATCATAATCCAATCAATTTTTTGTACACATTACCATAATCCAATCAATTTTTCGTATTCTTGTATCTCAGTTTTCGTATATCAGTATGCATACCTTTCAGAAATGAAAATTTCTGAAAGGTATGCATAATCAGTTTTCCTTTTGTTACTTGAAGGTTTAATAGGCAATACAGTCATTGAACACAAAACTCGAGTCAGCAAAGGTTTACAACAGAAGATTACTATGTTGATTATGAGGTGGGAGTTCTAAATGGTGTCCATGGTGGGAATCATGACCATGTTTTTTGTATTAGTGAGCTGAGATAATTATACGGCTTATCTTTTATCTTAAATGTAGATTCAAACAAATAGTATCCCCAAAATTCATCCAACAATTGCATAATAACACTGCAAAGTCCATATAAAAATCATATACGTGTTTAACAGATACGAAAAGGTGCAATAATTAAGTTTTATTAAGCAGAACAAAACAAAAAGGGAAAACTACAACAGTGAATGGCTGGACAGCAACAGCTATATACATTTTGATTTTCTATTTGCTCAGTCTTACTTCGGTCCCTCAACTTTCAACTGTGACACTTTATCCTGTGAAGTTTCTCCAATGATTAATGACTTGGATGGAAGTTAGCAAGCATTTAAAAACTACTTAGGAACTAGAGATACTAAGGTGCAACTATCACAGGTTGGCGGACTCAAGTAAGATTTAGTACAAATTTCACAGATCACAGGTGTATTTTACCCAATATAAAAAGCATCTAGAAGCATTGAAGCCTTTACCGGTGTGCGACTTCCATCAAATGTATAAGGAAAGGCTTCCTTGGTGATGTTGGCATTGGCAACTCTTGAGGTAGCTTGGTCGCGAACGAAAGGGTGATCTAGTAGTTGTAAGGCAGCTGGGCGTGCAGATGGCTCTCGCTGCAAGCACAGCCTTATGAAACTTTTTGCATCATTAGACAGATGATCAGGAATTTCAGGAATCTCTTTGCTGTTTCCAATTTTAAATATTGCAGCCACCTGGGGAATTCAATATAACAAAAAGTTTGTCCCATGAACTTTTTGATACTCGCCTTGACAAATACGAGTTCATAATGTATATTGTAGAATAGCATACCCCTTCATATTGGCTCCAAGGTGGTTTGGATGTGGCCATTTCAAGAATTGTACATCCTAAGCTCCAGATGTCCACTGCAAGGCTGTAGCCATTTGCATTCATTACGACCTGATAAAAGACACGAAGATGAGTATGAAGAACCTGGATAATTCTAAGATTTTTAAAAATAAAGATCGAGTGAGGAAAACAAGACCGAAAGGTTAGGGGTACCTCAGGTGCCATCCAATAAGGACTACCTTTGAAGGAAAGCATTGAAGAATATGCGGTTATCTGCATCATAATTATTATAAGTTATGTTGTCTAATAATATCCAACAAAAGGAATTCGGTAAATGCTTTCTGCAGATAGCATTAAAAACAAAATTATTTGTTACACGGAGGATGAGGAGAAAATATGAAAAAATCGTCTCTACAGTCAATTTGATATTGAATTTGAGTAAGATTCCAAGTTTTATCCTTTCTCAATCCCCTCAGCAACCTTATATAGCACAATAGGAATTTCCAATAACTTTCTCTGTTATTCGCTAGATAGAATCACTGGCACAGTTTGGAATTAAATTGAACTATTATGCATTTTAGGACACATACATGTTTTGCCATGCCAAAATCAGCAAGTTTGATTTCACCATTGGGGTCCACTAAAATGTTCGCGCCTTTGATATCCCTGCCAAAAAGCACTTGCTTTGTAAGATGGCTAGAATCATAAAAACAAATTTATTCGAGAATCATGAACATTGCAAGAATCTAATACCTATGCACAGTATTTCTTCCATGTAAGTAGGCCAGCCCAGAGAGGATCTGTCTAGTGTAATTTTGTATTACAGGTTCCCCAAATGCACCATATTCTTGGAGCAATTTGTGGATGGAGCCCCCAGAGACATATTCCAAGTAAACAGACAACGTTTCTTCATTCTGAAAACATGGAAAAGCAGAGAAATTACAACGAAGTGGGCAGGGAAAAATAAGTTCTAGTATACATGCTATGTGACTATGATATACAACTCTGGCTAAAGTATTGAATAAGAAGTTTGAAAAGGAAATTAGCTTGTACCAGTTCACTTCCATAGTACTGAACAATATTTGGATGTGAAAGCTGACTAAGCAAACTGATCTCCTGTTTAAAAGGACAAATGTGTCAATTAAATTCTGACTGGAAAGTTGGTAGTATGCACAGTAGAAGATGTAGAAATTGAAAAGAAACCTGGTTCAACTGCTTCAGACATTCCTTCGATGTCGGATCATCTGCAATAACCTTGACCTCTTTAATTGCACACATTTGCCCACTCTCACTGTCAAGATTGCCAATGCACCATTATAAATATACGCCATTGGGAAACTAATTGATTTTTTACATTTAATGAAGATCCATATGACAAAGCAATATAATCATCTAATCTGCTAGTGATCATGAGTTGCTAAGACCCATGATGATACTGGTTTACCTAAGGCAAAAACATAACATCAACATCATGTTAAGCTACCATTGTTACTAATGTTTAGCTAAAAGTTAGCTGATACAGAACCGCTCTAGAGTTTGTAACTGCAAATTACAGCCAAAATTCTCATCGCTGTGATTAGGGATAATTGTAATGCAAAAGCCCACTCAACATAACCAACATCCTCCAAAAATTTCTTTCTTAAGTTGATTTCTGATAATTCTCTGATAACTTATGTTGATGTCTAATATTAATTGATCAGCAGTGAGAAAAATCTTGTTACCTGTTGAACCCGAGGTAAACATGCCCAAAAGTGCCTCTTCCTAGAAGCCTTCCTTTTTTCCATTTTGACAAATTACAATGTGAGTATTCGGTCACTCCACAGGTTCTTGGGGTGGGCAAGGCAGAAGGGCTCGTAGGAGAACCAGGTGGAAGGGGCAGCCGATGACATTCACTCTTTCCATCTTCCAACTTTCCGGTTGGAGAGTCAACACTCGTCCCACAAAATCGGTGATGAAGAGGTGATGTGATAGTGGTAGTGGTAGTCCCTCTTGAACCTGCACCTGGGCTTCTGGGCAGTTGGCTGAACTTCGCATCCCCATGTCCTCTAATGGTAAAAACATGACAATTCAATCATAACCATTAGGCTATTGGCAGTTTAATCACAGAAGTATAACTGTTACGACACTGGTAAGGTTTAAGTGCTTTATATTCTTCATGCTCATAATAAAAAACTACAATCTCAAAATTTTAGCCATTTCTCTACCTTTGGGTGGCTTACAAAAAGAGCAGCTCAAGCTGATGATGAACCATCTACGGCTAAAATGATAGAGCCAAAATAGAAAAATCTTTAGAATGAGTAACTGAATTAAGGAAAGCCAGGTCCCTAGTTTCAACAAGGTTGGCCACCAAAACATAAAGCTTCACAGCGAAAAATTCTATTTCCTCGTAATTTGTACATTAAATCATCGATCCCCAAAAAAGGTCAATAAACAACAGCGCTCGGAGAGAGAGAGAGAGAGAGAGGATAAGGGGGAGAGAGGGGGGGGGGGGGGGGGAAGAGAAGATCAGGAAACTGATAAAGCTTTACACCAGCAGACCCAAATATGATTAAAGAGAGAGAAACCCAGATTCTATATAAAGACCCCCTTTATTGGCAATAAATGGTGTATGATTAAACCAAATTTAAGTTTTTGATCAACAAACCAATAAATATTCTAAATCAAACAGAAAAACCCAAACCTAATATCAAATCCTCCATAATTCACCACAACAACACAAAAACACAGAACTGGTAAAAAACGAATCCGTAGCAGCAATCACAATTGAAACCAACCTGAAACCACCCAATTGGCCATGATCAAGATGAGCTTGATCATCAGAAGACCCAGATGAGCTCACACTCGAAACCGAGACCGACCCAGATCCCAATCCAACCCCATGATCATTCCCCAACGACGAAACCGATGGTCGTGGCAAAGGATGCCCTCTGTCCGACGACGCATCGAAACCTGAAAATCCCGAAGACCCACCGAAATCCTTGCTGTTTCTTGGCGAATTTCGCGATAATATTCCATCAAAACTCTTGGGCTTGTTGTCTTTGCCTCTCTTCTTATCATTTCTGATTGAAGCTTTGCTTGAATTGTGAGAATTGCTGTTGGGATATTGTTGGATTTCTCGTTGATGAAGTTGATCTTTGTTCTTGGTGGATTTTTTCCCCCACCAACCAGGCATTTTCACAGATTGACCAAGTAAAAGAGAAAGATAGTGAAAAGTTCTATGTATTAATACAATATGAATGAATTACATATGCGCATGCGTAATCTCAGAGAAAAGGAGATAGACTCGGAGAGAGAAAGTTCGGAAAATGGGTCCTGAGGTTTGGACTAACATGAATGAAGGTGTGTAGATGGAGTTGAAGAGGAAAAGTTGAAGAAGAAAACAAGATGGGGATGTTTAGAGAGAGAAATTGTTCAATGTCCGTGTGGGGGCCAAGACCAAAGCTAAACAGTGAAGAACAGCTCAGCTAGTTGGGGGACGGCAGGCGATATTTGGATTATGGCGGGTGGGTGACGTGGCCAATTCACGAGTTTTTTTTTTTAGAGAGGGAAAGTTTTATAGTATTTTTAAAGAGAGAGAAAAAGTACAAACAGATTGTGATACTCACTGTGTACGAGCGGCAATTGTCGACACGTTGTGTCAATATAAACTTGAAATTAGGATAACTTAATTACTTAAAATAACATAATTTGTCGACGATCAAATTAGTAATAAATATAAATATAATAATATTATTTAATTCATCGCAACTATTAAATTAGTTACGAGCCATAACAAATATTGTGCCCACTATTAATTTAATAGTTTTGAATAATTAGGTATAAATAAAATTACTCATAAATAACTCATTTTTGGTATGACCAACTTATTTACCGGGTATTGTATGAAAAAGAAAATATTTTTTGGTTTTTTATTTTTTAAGCTATTATTAAATTTTTATAGAATTAAAAAAAATTATTTTTATGAGCACATGAATTGAATAAATTTTTGATTTACGAATCTCTCTAGTTGATGAGTTTAAATGTGAGAGGGATTGTAATTTAGATTTTAGGTTATTCTGAACACAATATAATTAATATAATGCTAGTTTTTATAAATTATTTGATATTATTTTTTAGAAAATTAAAATTATAAATTTATTATTGACAATTATTTCCGATATAACTTTTGAATTTTTTTAATATAATATATTTATAGAGATACAGATGTCGTGTGTGGCCACCGAGGGTAAATGCGTGTTGTAGGCAAAAGAATAAACAGAATCCACATTGGTCATCGTGCGGTACAACACATTATAGTTACATACAAGTTAGTGTCTGTGGGGGCATACAGAGAGAGGGGGATGAGTTTGGCTAGTTTTTCATTTGTTTTTGGATCTTTAAATTCGTGTTGATTATTATCTCAAACTCAATGACTAGTCACCTATTGAGGGGAGAGTGAGAAGAATTCGAACATAAAACACCTAAATTATTGAAGATCAACTTCAATGATTGAACGCGCTTTATTAACTTCTCTAGTTAAAGCATGTGAGTATAATAAATAATCGATATGAGAATCATACCACCTACATATTATCACATAATATCATTATATAATAACAAAATTTTAAGTGGATTAGATAAAACTCAATTTTTTTATATATGAGTAATTATTATTTTACATAGAAGAAAAATTGACAGTTATTGTATTACATGAAATAGTATTTATTATATCACTTTTGTATTAAATATTTTCTCATGTGGGGTTGGTTGCACACTAAAGTGGTTGAGCCTCTGGATTGGGTTTAGCACACTAAAGTGGTTGAGCCTCCGGATTGGGTTTTTCTTTAAACTAAGAGGCTTTCATTTGATATTTATGTATGTCATTATAAAAGAGTGAGATATAGAAAAAGATAAACAAGCATAAAAATTAAAAAAAAAAATAGCATAAAAGTGTGAAATTATGAATAATTATGAGTGATTAAGGGGTAATATAAATATTTGATAATGATGGTGTAAATCAACGTGGTGCAAATTTATGGTAATAAGCCGATAGTATGAACAATATCTTGGCTATTAGGATCTAAGCTATAAGGCTCGAGAGAGCAATGCTTAAAATTGTTGGGGGATTGAGGGATTGACACAATGAAAATACAGTAGTTCACCAGTTCGAGAGTTCTGCTAATCCACCTTTTAATGGAGGCTCTTGCTTTTTATTTTTATTTTTATTGATCATTGGAAAGGTTTAAAGAATAGAGTCTGCGTTATTAGGGTTCCGCCCCTCTCTTGGGGGCGTTACATAGTATTTATAGAGTTGTCCCTAGTTCTGCGGGATCTACACCGAGATCCTTGCCATTTATCTGAGAAATTCTCCTTGATCTTAGGAGGGAATCTTACTTGATTGAGAGCCCTGCTCCTTGACTGTAGCTTGACTGTTTGTTTCGAGGATGCTTTCTATTATCTAGCTAGCCTTCCTTTGTCCTTTCCTTTTGCTGGCCCCTGGGGATCTCATAGGTCTGGACCTCTGAGATCTGAAGGTGTTACCTGACCTCCCTCCCTGACCTCTTTACCCAAGCTCATACTTGTAATTTATTTGAGGTATCATAAGTTGCCCCCCAACTCTTGGTCAAGCTGGCTTGGGCAAGGGCTGAGCTGCATTAGGACTGGCTTGGGCCACCCGTCGACCTTGATTCTCATGGCCAGGGGATTTTGTTTTTGACGATTTTTAGCAATCATGTCCTCCTCGATTTTCGCACACATTCTCCACTTTCAAAACCAACGTACTGAAGGCTTTAAATATCTCTGTGCCGAAGGAAAACGACTCACTTTACCCTTTGAGCTCCTTCCCTAACCTTTTCCCCCTCAGTCTCCTGCGATTCATATCTCTCGATTCTACTAGTGATCATAGGGCTTTGCTGAAAATTGACTTTCCTTGATTCAGTTCATGGTTTTGATGAGATTCGCCTCTATTTCGAGCTTTAGCCCATTGTTCACCTTTGCCTAGGTACGTTTCTTGTCTCTTGTTCATCTCCTCATTCTGGATCCCTCAAGTTTGAGGTGGTTCCTGTACTTTTGGGCTTTTCGATTCTGTTATTTTAGGAACTGAGGTCGATCTTTATCGCGTATTCCCCTCTTCTTAGACCCTTATTCAACTGCTAGGGTCTTCCTTATTGGTAGTTTTTGTGTTGCCCCCAAACTCTTAGAAAGTGTTCTGCAAATATTCATCCCCTTTATCGTACCTTTAGACTTCCTTTTTCTTGTCCCACCATGTCTGCTTCTTCTAAAGCTACCCCTTCCTCTGTTTCTCTCCTGGGGGATAGGACTATTGAGGATGATTCCGATTTAGTTGAGGTAGGTGAGCAAATTGATAAATTCCCTGGTGTTGATTCTATTGAAGTCGAGGGAAAATCTGAGGGAACTCCCCCATCAACCTCCCCTGTGTTCAAAAATTCTAGTAAAGGCAAGGCTAAGGTGAATGGAGTTGGCATCTCAGGTAGTGTCGAGGGCGCAGGGGCTATCTTTAGAGCTGTAGAGCTCGTAGGCCCCAGTGAGGTTACCCCATCTCTTATGAAGGTTCTCAGTGCTCGCTTTGGTTTTCCCCCAGGAGTTCAGTGCTGGTGTCCAGATAGATTTACCCCATATGTCTCCCAGGTCCATAAAAAGGTTTGTTTCTTTGTTGCTGCCTTTGAGAATGGTCTGCGTTTTCCCTTACACCCTTTTATTAAGAGTGTTCTACAACATTTTCAATGTTTGTCCTGCCCAGCTATCTCCTAACTTCTGGGATGTCCTGGTGGGTCTCCTTATTTTCTTCAAGAATCATAAGCTCGAGGTTCTCACTGTTTTCTTATTCATGGAGCTTTTCAACGTTAAGCTTACTTCCTCCGAGGGATTTTTGTATAATTCTAAATGAACAAAAGCCAAACAGATTATCTTTGACCTACCAAGCTCCCACAAGGGCTGGAGAAAATTTTTCTTCTTCGTGTGGGGAGTACACTAGGAGTACAATTCGACAGATAAGACAGACACTCTCTCAATCTCTAGAGCGTGGTATGCCCTCGATAACCTGGGTAAATCCTTGCTCAAACTAACCAAGCTCGAATTTGGAGACCCTTACTGACTTTGTCCTGCCTTATGTTATTTCTCAGGTGTTCGACCTAAGCTCAGTGCTGAGGACGAGCGAGTGCTACTGAGATTGGAGAAGTGTGACCCTCAAAAATATTCTGAACTCATCAAGCCTTGGGTTCTAGTAAGGGAAGGGTTTAGCCTTCCGGAGGTAACAGTAGAAACCCCAATCCTACTCTCCATTGTCAGAGCTGAGGAGGTAGCACGTGACGCTTCTCCCACCAATTCCCTTATTTTGGCTCTGACTCTTTTTTTTTAGTCTGCTTATTTTAAGTCTTCTAGATTCTTCCTCGATGGAGCCTACCCCAACTGAGCTCTAGGCTAAACTTTCTCAATTAAAAGCAGACCAGGAGTGGTAGCAAAAGCAAGGTTGTGCCTGGTTCTGGCAGTGGGTCCACCCCTTCTCCTCCCAAAGTTCCAAAGACAATCGTACCCTGGTTCCCCCTACTCTAACTCATCCAATAATTGTTCAGCCTTCATCTTCCTCTCCAACTACAAAGGAACCTTCGTCCCAAAGTGCCTCGCTTGCCACCGCAAAGGCCCTTGGGCTAGGTCAGACCTCCCCTTCCTCCTTTGAGGTCGAGAGGGCCTTGGAGACGACAACCCGAGTTTTGACCTCCTTCGTTTCTCCTGGACACTCTGAGCAATATTTACCACCCTTTTTTGGGAGCTCCCAAGTTGAGAAAGACCAACACCCTAAAGTAGAGGAGAACAAAGGTTTCTTCTTCGACATTGCAGAACTTGCTGCTGGGCGCCTTTCCTCTATCCTCCCTGATTCTGATATTCAAAGGGCCTCCTCCATGTCTCTTGAAGCTTCTATAAGCTCATATCTCCAAGGGGTAGCTGTTGTAAGTCCTTGCACTTTCGTTCTTTCATTAGACATTATACTATAATTACCAGCTAACCTTTACTCGCTTTTCTTTTTGTCTTCAGTCAACTGTTCATATAAAGAGCTTGATGAGTAGTATCCGATCTTCGAAGAACTCTATCAAGGCTCTGAAGGCATATGAGATTAAGGTTGCTGAGTTGTCCTTTGATAATGATGACCTCCGAGCTCAAGTGCAAGACCTTCAAGAGAAAATGGAGAGGCAGACTTCTTCCTTCAAGGGTTTACAGGCCGCAAAGGATAAGGCTAAGAAAGGAGAGGAGAAGGCCAGGGAGGAGCTAAAACTTAAAAATGATGTCTAGGTCACCGCTAGCCAAGAAGCTTTTGCTGCCCAGAGCTCTCTCAAAAACCTGAGAAAGGAGTACGTCACACTGTCCGAGGTGAATGGTGCCCTCTGCAGTGAACTTGAAGAGCTAAGAGCTACTTCAACTGAGAAGGATGAGTCTAT